TACAAACTAAAATGTATGAAGAGGAACATGGACCTAGTGGTTAGAGCTGAACAAGGTAGAAGAGGAACCCATGAAGACACAAGCCCTGGAAAGGGGCAGACATGAGGCATGCAAATGTCTGACAGATAGATGTCTGGCAGATAGGCCAATAAAGTTGATGATATAGTCCCAAGAACTAAGACAAAAGGTGGACACTATGGAAAGGCAGATTCATCCTCAGTGGGACAAAAGATAATTGGATACCAGGAATGTTGCATTGACTCATTACCTTGGATGCAGACTGACTCCTTATAGTCAGACTCTTAGCACCTAAAGAGTCTGTGAAGAGGCAGTGAAGCTGTGTAATCACATGACAGAAGATGCTTACTTAGGAGGGAGATAGCTTACCAGGTATTAAGTCTTTCTGAGACCTGACATGCCCGTGAACCATTAAGATAACTTTTGGCACGTGCCCAGATTGAGCCAACTGAGATGGAAGAAGTATATCCATAACTTTAAGAACCCACATACATTGTCACATGACATCAAAAACTTGAAAACTTCTTTTTTAAAATTTTTATTTATTTTTGTTGTTCTTTAGTTCACAGGTGGAGTCTTGGAAGCTTGCCTCTAGAACCTGATGCTGCACGCCCTCTGCTGGTCATTCCTAGCACTGCCATCTCATCTCAAAGCCAAAAATAGCCCCTTTAAATGCTATGGTACTGATCAGTATAGTTTCAGAACCTGAAAGTACCAGGAAGTCAGATCCCTGGTCAGTGCTCAGACAGTGTGCAGGATCAGAATGACCCTAAGAATGAGTTCAAGTTACCTGGAATCAAAATTAGATTTCAGCATTCTACCATGCGGCCTGCGCAATGGTTTCATTAATGAGGTTCTTGGCATAAAGTTAGTTAGAAGAGATCGAAATAAAACACACAGACTCAGTTACCTTATTTCTATTGCCAGGTCAGAGACGGCTCCCCTCTCTGGCTCCAACCTCTAACCGCCCAGCAGGGCAGCAAGGATTACTCAGGGCTAGCAGGAGAGAGAGAGTGAACACGCCAGGGAGTAGCCTTTTATTGGGGAACAAGAAATTCAGGGGATAATTCCATCCAATGAAGGTTGAGGGGGGACTGCACTCCAAGGTCAGGGTCAGTGATTGGGCCCCCGGGGTCAGTGGTCAGTCACACCCCCACACGGATGGGTTCTCTCATCAGGAAAGGGCCGGGAAAATTCCGACACAGCCAGAAGCCTCAGACCCTTAACGGGAGTCGCCCAGTCACGTGTCAGGATGGCTTCCCACACAGCATGTCTAAGAAAAGGGTTTAGACTTACACTGGATTTGGGGTACTGTCTCATCCTGGACTATCATCAGAGTTAATGTCTCAGGCTGTAACCAGTATGGGACCAAAACTTTGGCTCAGGTGTCAATATGAAGTATGAATTGGGAGAGGTACTAAGAGTCTCACTACAAGGAGTCAGTCTGCATCCAAGGTAATGAGTCAGTGCAGCATTCTTATGCCCAGGAGGAAACATCAGATGATAAGCACCCAGTCAACAGAGAATTCAAGCAAGAACACTTTCCAGGGGAGAGGAATGAGGGACAGGGGGACAGAATGAGGCAGTCACTAATTTCTAAGGACTTGCTAATTTTAAAGATGGTAACAGGCCCTTTCTTTTCAAATAGTGGAATTCCAATTCCAGCTTCCTATAACCCACCCCCACTCCCCGCAGCCAGTTTACTATCACATAAAAATCATAGGTACAATTTGGGGAAAGAGCAGGACCAAAGGCCAGTCCTGTCACTGAACAGAGCTGGCAACTGTGGGGATAGTCTTCCTCCCCCCACCCCCCCAGGATTCTCTGTTTCTACTGGCAACAGTACTTGGCAGCCTCCCACATCCAGATCTTAGCAACCATGGCAGCCCCTGGCAACTGCTGCCATGGTGACAAGACAGGGAACTGAGAACAGACCAAAGGGAGGGAGCACTTCCTCTGGAGGCTTTGAAATGTATGCAAAATAGGGAGTTCCGCCTCCCATATACAGTCTGGGAGGGAACATAGGCTCCTCTCTAAACACCTCCTCACTGGCACCCACCCCCACCCCTGCCCACATGTTCCGGTTCCCTCAAGGTGAGGAAATGAGGGACACCTAGGATTATGACGTCTCTATAGGGAGGAAGAGTGAGCGGGGGTGTTTGGATCACAGATACATGCATATACTGGTAGACATGGTGTCAGCGTCTCGGTAACCACATGCTTCATCCACTCTTTGTCATAGAGACACATGCCTCCACAGCCACTTAATCACATATGTACCCTGACACAAAATCATATACCCATAGCAAAGAATATACTACCATACAAAAATAATCATACAGATATACTCTCACTCACAAATTGAATTACCAATACAATAGTATAAATAACTCCCAGATTCACACATTATAGATACACTCACACACTCAGATATCTGTGAACACAGAATAATAGTTGACTTGGTTAAGCACTAACTACATGTTAAGTTCAGAACCGAGTACATTACGTGTATTACCTTAATTAACCCTTACAACAACACTGTGAAGTACTGCTGTTGCCAGTCTCCATTTAGAAAGGACAAAGTGAGGCACAGATGTGGAAGTGGCCTCACACAGTCATTGTCTGACTCTAGGGCCCACATTCTTACAGACTATGCCACTATGCACCCTAATATACATCCCTGATGCCCAGTACAATGGGACAGAGGGCAGCAATAGCAATCCAGGCAGATAATAAAGTTCAAGCCATCAACACATAAGGGCACAACCCTGCAGCCCTTAAGGTCCAAGCCTACATTTTAACATTAGCTGGGGCCAGGTAAGAGCTGCTGACTAAACTCTGCCTCCGTGTTGGCATAGGCAAGGCTGGGGGAGGCAAAAGAGACAAAACTGGAATAGGAAGAAGCACAGCCACCCACAGCCTGGGCCCCCAGGAGTCAGGAGGAAGGGGAGTGAAAGCCCTCAGATCTGAAGAGCCAGCATCAGTCCTGGGTTCCCTCATGCCAACCTTCCCATACCCATGTCACACTTCCTTTCTCTTCACTGCCCACTGTCCTTCCCCTTCCTCATTCCATCTTACCCCATGTCCCTGTCCCATTATTATGTGGCTCATGACATCCCCTCCCTCTATCCCTTCCCCTCATCCTCCAACCCACCTCCCTCTCCATCCTCATTCCTTTCCCCTCCTAGCCTCCCACCATATCTCCCTTCCCCACCCCCATCCTCCTTACCTCAACAATGTCTCCCTCATCTCATACTGATCATCCCATCTCACCACCCCCTCCTCATCCCTTAACCCCACTTCCTCTCCATACTCTTCTCACCCTAATTTCCTTTCTTACTTTAAACTCACACCCTTTACACTGGGGAGCCCCATAAAAGAAGGCCCAGATGAAGAACACTAGAGACCTGACCCCAGGATCCCTAGACCCTTCTCATTCTCTATTCTGGGGCCTAGGTACTCCAAGCCTGCTTTTCCAGCTCTAACCAGTTTGCATGATTTCATGGGTATCTAAACTCTCTCTGGAAAACTCAGGAAAGTGGTAAGAGCTTCTTCCCAGGCCCTTCCTTGTCATTGACACCCCCAAAAGGATCCCCTCCCCCTCTTCACCCCCAGATTACCCCCTACCCACCCCCGCTCCCTCGAGCACAGATGGGCCTGGGAGACAGTAACGTGGGCGCCAGGCTCCGTGTCTGCTGGAGCGGCGGCTTCCGCTGGCGACCGCCTCCGCAGCCCCGCCTGCTCTGAGCATCGGGGACACTAGAGCTGAGATTTAATTATTTAAGGGGGGGGGGTGAGATAGGAGAGTCTGAGGGTGTTAGGAAAGGGTATCATGGGGTACTGACATGAAAGGTTAAAGGGGAAGCTCTGATAAGGGAGACCAGAGATAAAGAGGTAGGATTAAGAATAGGACAAGAAAGAGAGGAGGGGGCGGGGGGAGAGAAAAAATAAGGAGAGAGAAAATAAAAGGGGGGGGGAAGAGGCCAAGACAGAAAGGGTGGGGGGAGGACAGTCAGGAGATGATAAGGGATAAGGAAGGAGCAAGTAAAAAGGGTTAATATTTAGGAACTCTCAAAGAGGAAGTAAAAGGAAAGATTGATTATAAGTAGCCTGAAACGGAAGCTGTGGGGGTTGCTGAGAAGCAGCTACTCAGGAGGGAACTAGGGTGAAAGGATTATTGAGAGGATGGAAAGGCAGTTTGCTTGGGAAGAGAATCATGGAGGTGTCACTCCTGGTGCAAAAGGCCAGTTTACTGATAAAGGAGAGAGTGGAAGGGCACCTAAACTCTACAAACATGAGATTCAGTTAGGCCATGTCAGGTCAACCCCAGGTCCAAGTAAAGTAAACTTAAATAAGGTCAGGACGAGGTCAGTTCACAGTTCTAAGGAAGACAGGTAACTCGGGTGACTCTTTAGCCCTGGTCCAGGGACTACACCTCCCGGAGTGCTTTATTCTCTCTTTCTCTCTCTCCCTCCTACTCTCCTAAACGAAGAAAGGAAAGAATGCCTGGTGCCACGGCCAACTGGTGGGCGCAGTTTTCCTTTAAGGCTGCCTTTGACGTTGCACGAGTTCCAGAAGGTTCTCCCAGGATTCGAGCGATGGCCAGTACGTCCCACCTTCTCAAACTGGAGATTGGACTAATATAGTTGCCCCCTGGCAGGGGTCTGAGTCCTACGGAAGAACCAATAAAATCAAAGGGCGCGTGGAGTTGTCACCCTCTATCCTTTTCACCAATGACACGACGAGATGACGAAGAGGTGTGGTTGATTGATCCCAGAGGGCACCAATCAGACCCACACCAATCACTGCCCGGAATGTGTGCGCGTGTGGCCGGGTGACAGGGGCGGAGAAGGTGTGGCTAACACTGAGCCGCTCGTTGAAAGCTGCCCAATCACAGCAAAGGCTTAGCTGACTGACGGGCATACGGTGCAATGGATAGCACGGAGGCGGAGCCGTGGGGGCGGGCTCCCGGTCCCGCTGTCTGCGGCCGGCGGGCAGGCGACTCCTGTCCCTAGTGGAGGCGGCGGAACCGGAGCCGGGGGAGGGGGCAGCGGCTGTGTGACGGACCGCGGCGGCACCCGCAGCTCCCCACCGGTGAGGGCGCTGAGCCAGGACTCAGGGGTCCCGGGAGTGGGGTGTCACGGAATCGGGGGTCTTGGTATCGGGGGTTGGGACACCAAGGGCCCATCGGCTCTTCTGCTGTTGGGGTGCGGAGACTGGGAAATCGGGGGTCTGTAAGGTACTCAGCTTCCGCACCCCAGGCTTGGTTCTCCCGCCAGCCAGATTCTGAGCCGGGAGAGGGTCGGGTCGTATCGGGTCGGATTGGGTTCTCTCTGGCGGAGGCGTTTCTGAGCAGGCCAGCCAGCCAGCGCGGGTGACATCACCGACCCCCTCCTCCGCCCATCGGAACCCCCTCCCCTCCTCTCCCCGCAGCGCCTTTTGTCCTGGCCAGGCTCTGTTCTGCCCCGCCCCTCCCCGCCCATCTGCGGGGGAGGAGACTCCCCGTCAGTGACTTCATTGAGTAGGTTCTTGGGTATTGGGTTTGGGTCCTCCCCAGATAGGCGAGAGGAGCTCGCTGTCTCTCAGGCCCTCACTATCACACCTGTCACAGGTACATACACTGCCACTCACAAGCACACGCTGCCACTGCCAGCCTCACTGTCACACTGCCATACAGCCACTCACAATCAGCCAGACACTGCTGCACCTGACAGCAGGTGGCCACTGGACCCTCGGCCTTCACTCTCAGCACCTGGGGATCAGGTCCAGCTCCTGAAGCACCCGACAGGCCTTGCTGGGCAAGGGCCTCCACGAATCTGAGGAGGTGGCTTCCAGAGCTGCAGCATTCCAAGCAGGCTCCGGTGGAGCAATCAGAGGTGAGGGGCTTGGCTGGGCATGTTTAAGCGCACAGTGCTCTCCTGCCCACCCCCAGCAGCACCCCCACTACAGGCTCGAGGAGCTTTCCGGAGCTTCCCACACTTCTGGGGAGAAGACTTCTTAGCCAGCTTGATGTTTAAAATTCAGCTGGAGCCCTTAAAACTTCGAGCGTGGACGCTGAATGGGTTTGTAAAGTTTCGGTAAGTCCCTCCTGAGAAGGGCGCTCATACCCATGCCAAGTCAAATTCTCCACATCAGCCATTCCTGAGCATCACCTCTTTGCTTCCTCATCTCATTCTCAACTACATGATAGAACCCCCTTCTATCTCACCTGTCCATTTGAATGAATTGCACCCCCTCATTCATCTCATCTCTCAAATCCTTTTTTTTACAAACATCTCCTCCAACACTTCAACTTCCTACAGTTCTTGCTCTCCACCCATCAAAACCCATTTTCCATTTGTCCCCTATTATTTTCCCTCCATCAATACCTCATTTATATCAACAGTTTTCCTCCCTTATTACCTCAGTAGGCCCTCTTGCCATTTCTCCCCGTTTTTCATTCCTGCCTCTACATTAAATCCTCCTCATTCTTCTCCATCAAAGGCAGTGCCATACCATGGGGCTCCTTTGTCATTGTACCACGCGGCTTGTGGGTAGGGGGAGTGAGGGAGGGTAGAAAGGAGAAGAAGGAAAAAGAGGCAGGTTTTGAGTGAGTTTGCCCTGTGTCTGTGGAGACAAGAGAATTATGAGTCTAGAATAGCTAGCAGGTGGGTGCCAAAGAGGACACTGGCCGGGTGAAAAGGTAATGCAGGGACAGCAAAAGAAGAGTGGGTGGACTGGTAAGCTGTTCTGACTTGCCTTCTGCCTAGAAGCTGCTATAGTTTTCTGGGGCACCCTGTTGATGTTCTGGGGTTCCTTCCCAGTCCCAGGGGAAAGAAGGTATGGGCTGAGGCAGAGATGGCAGACCACCCCCCAGCTCCCTCTCAGATGGCTTTTACTGCTGCTTCTGAAAATGGCCACCCTCCCCCAGATGCTCTTTCTTCTCTGCCTCCCCCAATGCCAGTCTCCCCCACAGACGTGACATGCTGGTATGGGGAAATGGGGGAGTGTCTTTATGGTGCCTTCTCTTCATCAGAGTGAGGTGACTCCCAGCACCGTGAGTCAATCCAGCCACCTTCAGTGAGCCTTGTGGGGGCAAGAGCTAGGGCCATTGTCCCTGCCTATCTGGGGCCTTGGAGGCCTCCCCCTTACCAAGTCACAGTCCTCACTGCTGCCAGGACACCCTGTGTACCTCACTGCGTTGAAGCAGTCAGAGGCAGAGAAGCAGATCTCAGCTATGGCTGCCAGCCCAGGACATTGCTAGAAAGACTCTGGTTCTCCTAGCTTTGGCATGAGTTGGCCAAGTCTCAGAAGGGCAAGAGAATGGCTTCTGGTCCTTCCCCCAGATAGCTCTAGATATAGGAAAGCCCCTTCCCTTCATATCCTCCACAGATGCATGTATGGGGGAGGAGGGATTCAAGTAGAAGAATAAGAGCCCTATGTTTCTTCTTCATGTAACAGATGCCCCTGCACCCACATAAAAGGGGTTATCAGAGGAGTGTGGGTCCAATTCTGGGCCAGATTCTAAACTACAAGGCAAGTGGGAAGAAGAGTCTTGCAGGGAAGGTTAACTAAGGACTACTGGTTAGTGCCCAGCTGTCTCCTAGCAGTTAAGGTTTTAAAAGGCCCTATCCTCAGACAATTCTATTCACAAACACTGGTGTTCGGGCGCACAGACAAGTCTTTACACACAGCTTTGTGTGTAGACACTGGGAAATGAGTAAAGGCAACTGCTGCCCTCACTGGGGGAAGGACATTGCCACCCCCTGCTAATGAGGGTGTTGGAAACAGCAGTTTCCTAAGACTGTGAGTCACCCTGTGATCTGAGTCACACGTGAAGCTTAGCATAGTCTGGGGGACGGGTAGGGAGACCTGGGGTCTCCAATGGCAGAGAAGACTCTAGACACCCATACCCTGACTCAGCCTGGCTGTCCAGGACAGCTGGCCAAAGACCCAAGCCTGTGCCACTGCCCCAGCTGCCCTTAGCCTGGGCACTGTGCCTGAGGTGTGGCGTAGGAGACCACGATGCTCAGGTGACCTCACCCAGTGCACTGACCTTCGCCAGCTTCTGTGTGTGGTCTGTCAGTCCACGGTGCCTCCTCACTCAAAAGGACCTCAAGGGTCCTCAGTCTGGCCCAAGGGCCTGGGCCTCAGCCTAGCCCCAACAAGTGGGCCATAACCTTCAGCTTCCTGCTGGGAAAACCCAGAAGCTGAGGAAGGACTCACGAAATCTAGGATGTCAGAGCTGGAAGAGATCATCTAGTCTAAACCTTTCATTTTACAGATGGGGAGACCGAGGCCCAAAGAACAGGCATGACCTACTGAAGGTCAAACAGGAAGTCATTTAGGGATTGCAGGATCACTGGGAGCAGGGCTCTGAGCAGTAGAGAATAAGGGCACCAAGGATTGGCCCTGGGTTTCTTTCAGAAATAAGGAGACCAGTGCCGGTCCAGTGGCTGTAATGGGAAAAGATTATTACAAGATTCTTGGGATCTCATCTGGGGCCAACGAGGATGAGATCAAGAAAGCCTATAGGAAGATGGCCTTGAAGTACCACCCAGACAAGAACAAAGAACCCAATGCTGAGGAGAAGTTTAAGGAAATTGCAGAAGCCTATGATGTGCTGAGTGACCCTAAGAAACGGAGCCTGTATGACCAGTATGGGGAGGAAGGTAAGAGGGCTGCACTGCAGCCCAGTCCCGGACCCCTGTGTTTGTCTGGATGAAGTGAACAGTCCTGAGTGAACTGGCTCTCATAGTAGAGAACTGAGCAGGGGTGAGAGTGGCAAATGTTCCTAGCACTGACACCCCGAGGAGAGAGGAGACCACCTAACCTCAGCTTACTGTTGTTCTTCCTGCCTCTCTCCACCCTACTCTAGTTCGGGCCTTAGAGAGGTCTGAAGCAGGAGCCAGAGGCCTCCCTGCTCCCTCTTTCCTTCCCAGCCTTATTAGTCCTGCCTGAAGTCCCTGCTGCTTCATTGGCTGATGGGAATGGTGAGGGAAAGGGTGCCTGTGGCTCTCTGAGGACAGAGCATTTACATTCATCAGCATAAAAGTCTGCCCCTTAAACAGCCTGGGGATTAACCCTGAGAGCCCAGAGTAGAAATGGTTGTCCCCTTCCCTCCCCCCAACCCAGCCCACTTTAGGCCAGGAGAACAGAAATGGAGCTTTGCCTCCCAGAGGAAGTGGCAGGGATCCAAGGGTGGAAGGGGAACTGCTACTGGCATCTTACTCCCTCCCAGGGGCAGCTGGTGGCCAAACACAGGGCGGGTGGCAGGAAAGGCCCAAATAAAGGCTCTGAGAGGGTGGCCCCTCCCAGCACATCCCACGGGCATGATGTAGCTGCTAATTCTGGGCCTGCCCCTCAGGGCTGCCTGCCACCCGCCAGCCACAGGCACCTGTCAGGCTATATTAAGAGACATTGTCACAGCTGAGGACTCTCCTTCCTGGGAGGAACTATCCCTCTTCCCCACCTTTCTTTCACATTCTCCTCCTCTTCACCCTCCCCACCCTATCCTCAAAATGAAATGGGTTAATGGTATATACTGTACTGATACAAAGCGGGGACTCAAAGGAATGTTCTTTTTTTCTTTTTCCATCCTCCTTGCTTTGTGTTCCATTTCTCTCTACCCTTATCCTCTTGTGTGTCCCAGTCCTCCCACTCCTTCTTCTTCTCCAGGCTTCTAGTTCCCTTTCTCTCTTCTGATTGCTTCCTAGATTTACCAACTCCCAAATTTGCCAGCCACCTCCTGGAGTCCCTAGCATTCTCCCAACTAAGAAAAAAAAAATTGTTTTTTCTGGGGTAGAAGAATGGGAATGGTAGGGGTGGGAAAGAGGGAAGCTGTGCAGACACCATGCCACCATGTGACCTGTCTCGGAATTGCATGCATTCCTCCACTCAGCCTCACCTTTGTTTAGGAAGCAGGCTGGAGTGGGGACAGCTACCCTGAACTTCACCTTACCACCACTTGCATGCCCAAGCCTAAGTGTAGGGCAATGCTCAGAATCAGCCCAGACACCAGGTTCTGGTGCAGATTTTCATTCCAGGGGCCCCTAAGGCTGCACCCAGCTGGGGAGGGAGAGGCCACCTTGGAAATGTTGGTTATATTTCTGTCCACCCTGCCCCCTCCACAGTAACCAGCCAGAACAATTGTGCACATAGAGTCTGTGTGCAGCTCTGGGATGGGACAAGTTGTTCCTAGCTTGAAAAGGGAGTGGTGGTGGTCAAGGAGGAATCCCCACAGGGAGAATTACCCCCTTCTGTTATCATCAGTTCAACATCCCTCTCTCACTGAGCTCTGCCAAGCTTCTTGAACTTGCTTGATAATCACTTAATAGGAGGAAAGAACAGACCCTAAGTCTTGACAGAGAAATGAAGGAGTGGCTGCTACAAGTACCTGAACTGCCTGACACTTGGCCCCTCTAATGAAACCCAAATCTACCCTTGTGGTCCCAGGAAATGAGGCTAATTTAGGCTCAGGTTTATATGTCCAATTGAAATTCTAGATAAAAGACCTCAAAGAGAAGGAAACTTTCCTCTAGCCTGGGCCCCACCTCAGCATCTACCTATTCTGGATCAGCTCTCAATGTTAATCCCCTCCCCATAGCCCCCAGGACTTCCATAACCATCACCACCACACCCATGAAGGTGCCATCCAGGAATCTGAACCCTAAACAGGACCTGACTCCAGAGAGAGCACCTGGGGTCACAGCCTGCAAGGTGCCAGCCATTCATGCATGGTGGTTTGTCTACATTAGGTGTGGGTCCTAGGGCTTGATGTTGCATAACTTGAGGGAGCTCCATTCCCATTGTAGTCTATGTCTGAACAATGTATGAATGACACTCCCTGTAGCTATGCAACACTGTAAGCAGAGTATGAGAATGAAATATTTGAGAACTTCTAGAAAAATCATTCCTGGGTTTTTGAGCCTTTCTAATTTCCCATTTGGCATGAGTCAAGAAAAGAGGAAGCATTACTAGAAGCAGAGTAAAAGTGGGTTTCCTCCTAGATTGTGTCCCCATCTCATCTAGGGCAGATCACTTACTAACCCCTTGTGTGGTCAAATCCTGCCTGATTGCCTCTTGCCCTGTATGTCTTTGGAGATAAAAGCAGAGCTTTGGGAGTCAGGTATGACTTGTAATGTAACACCAGGCCAGCCACTCAAGGCTTTATGAGACATTTCTGGGCCATGAGTACATGGAAAAGATGACAGAACTGAAAGTCACATCCTCTAAGTCCCCTACTTCTGACTTTTTCATCTAATGGTAACCCAGCCTCCTCAAACTTCAAGATATACATTATTATTTAATATGTAATTAATTAAGAGTATTAATTAATCTTGCCAGAAGGTTTTATTACTGTTAGCCTGGCCCTCTCTGAAGTTAAAGGTTGCTTCTTTCCCTAGGCCCAGGAACTATGAGTTAGAGGGCAGAGGGAAGAGACTGGTATGGGGCCAGGATGGGCCAAAATGCCCCTAACTTCTCCTCCCCTCTAGGCCTGAAGACCGGCAGTGGTACGTCAGGTGGCTCCAGTGGCTCCTTTCACTACACCTTTCATGGGGACCCCCATGCCACCTTTGCCTCCTTCTTTGGTGGCTCCAACCCCTTCGATATCTTCTTTGCCAGCAGCCGCTCCACTCGGCCCTTTAGTGGCTTTGACCCAGATGACATGGATGTGGATGAAGATGAGGACCCATTTGGTGCCTTTGGCCGTTTTGGCTTCAATGGGCTTAGTAGGGGTCCAAGGCGAGCCCCAGAACCACTATACCCCCGACGCAAGGTTCAGGACCCACCTGTGGTGCATGAGCTGCGGGTGTCCCTGGAAGAGATCTACCACGGCTCCACCAAACGCATGAAGATCACTAGACGGCGCCTCAACCCTGATGGGCGAACTGTGCGCACTGAGGACAAAATCCTGCACATCGTCATCAAGCGTGGCTGGAAGGAAGGCACCAAAATCACCTTCCCCAAAGAGGGTGATGCCACACCTGACAACATCCCTGCTGACATTGTCTTCGTGCTCAAAGATAAGCCCCATGCACACTTCCGCCGAGATGGCACCAATGTGCTCTACAGTGCCCTGATAAGCCTTAAGGAGGTGAGGCCTGCTCAGATTGTGTGTGTGTGTGTGTGTGTGTGTGTGTGTGTGTGTTGTGTGGGTAACAGGAAACTCCCTACCTCCCTAGCATGTGGCACTTTCTTCCCCATTTCAGTCTTTCTCCTTTCTTCTCACTAACTTTTCCCCACCTTTTCCTCTTTCTCTGCTTTGTTTTGCCCAGGCACTGTGTGGCTGCACCGTGAACATTCCCACCATTGATGGCCGGGTGATCCCTTTACCCTGCAATGATGTCATCAAGCCAGGCACCGTGAAGAGACTCCGTGGGGAAGGCCTTCCCTTCCCCAAGGTGCCCACTCAGCGGGGAGACCTCATTGTGGAATTCAAAGTTCGCTTCCCAGACAGATTAACACCACAGACACGACAGATCCTGAAGCAGCACCTACCCTGTTCCTAGGCTCTGCCCAAGCTAGTGCAGAGTCTACCACAGCAATACCCCACACTCACCCCACCCGATGTGCACCCAGCTTGATGTCCACTGGACACTGGCGAGTTTTTCTAAAATGCAAAAAAAACACTGATTTTCAGGACAATGTTCCTATTCCTGACCCCTTTCAGAGCTGGGCTGCTTTGGGGGAGTGGGAGGGAGGTGGGGAGAGCTAGCCCAGGCCAGGGGTCAATTTTCATGTCACTAGCTTTGAATCCAGTTCCCACTTCAGTGGCTGGAGAGTGACTTGAGTGCTACTTGAAGATGTAGATTCCTTGTCCACGCCTGTAAATAGCATGTCCTTTTTCCCCTCTTGGCCTTGCTAATCCCTTTCCTCTCCCTTCCCTTTGGTTTCCTCCTGCTGGGGGAGGAAAAGGATAGAAAGGATATTGCTTTCATTCCCCCACTCCCAGGTCCATAGTGTCCAAGATTATCACACCCATATTCATGCACACAAAGCCCTGGAGCTGTCTGTGCCTCTCCAGGAGATAGAGAGGAGAAGAGATAGGAAGGAACAGTCTGCAATCCATGAACAGGGCCATTGAGCACAAGACACTTTTCATTTGGGATAGGGAGGTAAACCGGCCCTCAGCAGCCTCCTAACAGCCGCTCAGTCTACACAGTACAGAGCTGGAAGTTCTGTCCTCACTGCTGCTTTGAGAGTGTTCAAGGGCAGAGGGAAGGAAGAGGGGCCTAAGGTATGAAGCTAAGAGGTGGGGCAGGGTCCATCTCCCAGCCTTCATCAAGAAGGGTAAGGGCTTTGGGTGGCAGCTATTTCTCACCAGGAGATTCAGGGTCACAGGTTTCTCCCCACACCTCTGAACTCAGGGTCTAGCCACCCCAAACTTCCAAATCCCACTTTTATGATATGTGAAGCTACTTATTTCTTATCCTTCTTAGAGGCTGTGTGGGGAATTTCCAGCCCTTTTATGCCTATGTGACCCCACCCCACTCCCACCGTTGTATAAAAATCAAATAGTGAAGGAGCTGGGAGCAGACTGCTTTAGCCAGTCCTGGGGTGGGATATTTAGGTTTTCTCACTTTGACAAGCCCCTGAATGTTTTTATAGTAGTTTTTTTTGTATTTTTTTGTAATGACAGTATTATGGAAAAAATAAAGTATTTTAAAAATATGGCCTCTGAGCAGGAGCAACTAACCTGAGATGGGGACAGGTGTGTAGTGCCACTGTCAACTTCCCTCCAAGGCCCAGGCCACCTTTGAGAAGCCCAAGCAGGCCCTTGATATAAGTTGAGGATTACTCCTTCTTTTCTCTAAACTCAGACTCTGGATTTCTAAAACATGTACCCAAACACAAGAAAGATAGAAGATATCACTCAGATATTAGAAGAATCAGACCATTTGAGAAGAAAAAAAAAATCCCTGGTCATAAGAAACAGAGACCATCCTCTTTGGAAGATATATCAACATGACATGGAATAGATTTTCTCTTCTTGTCCAAAATTTCTGCGAATTAGAGAAATTTTCTTCCTAGAAGGGGATGGAGGAGGACTTTGCGGCTGACCAAAAGAGAGACATCCCCAGAGACCAAGGTCAGGCAACAGAAAGGGTAGCTAGAGATTCCTGGAATACTTGGCTGGAGCTGGCAGAGTCTGGGTTGGGGACATGGGCCCCATGGGAGGTACTGAACTTATTTGCCGATCCTTGCATCTCACAATTTTCTAGAGATATCTGTCCTGGTATCTGAACTGCTAGTCCCTGCTGAGACAACTCTGGCTCTCAAGGCCTGAGTGACCTTTATGATGGTGTCCCTGTCCTTTCCCTTGGGTCTGGGTGGGAAGGAGCCCTTGGGCTACAGGAGGCCCTTCCACAGGAGATGTCTGGGCCTGGACTTCCTCCTAGGATTATCCTTCCTCCAAGTGTGATGGCTTCGTCTCCAGAATCAGGCCCAGGACAGTTATGTGCTCCTGAGCTCAAGTGTTCTCAGTGCCATAAAGACAGTGCTGTCTCCAGCTGAGCCTGGCCCTGTACAGTAGTGGACACTGATTGGGCTTTACCATGACCTTGCTGCCTCACCTTTCATCCCAGGACGGAGTCATTGGAAAAGGATCCTCTTCCTATTACCCCAGTTATTTTTGCCAGGGGCTATTCCTTGTAAGGAACCTTGCTCACAAGAGTGTCTTCTAATCCCCTGGCCTGGGCAGGGAGACCCCAACCCTATATCCACTCCATGCCCTCCTGCTCTGGGGCTCCAGAGAAGACCTTCTCTTTACACAAGGCTAAATTCTGGTCCTGGCTGAATTTTGGGGATCTGGATCTGCTAAGCTAGACTTCTCCCTCTGGCCCTCATATAAAAACACAGGACCTGGGAAATTTTCATGTCTTCATGGAACACACACTGAGGATGGGATTAGAAGATCCTAGAAATCAGGTTATCTGAAGTAAGGGACACTTCATTGAAATGCCCTGAGGCCAGCTCTGTAGCTTCACCTGCAAATTGAACTTCACCTTTCTTAGAGGCTGTGTGGGATTTTCTGGTCCTTTAATATTTGTGCAACCCCACATACACACACATATACACACAGAGCTTTATAGAAGTCAAGACAATAAAGATGGGATGGGGGAATGTGTTTACTCTTTAAACCACTTTATTAAGTTTTCTCACTTTGACAAGCCCCTGAATATATTTTTGTGTAATTTTGTAATGAAAGAACTATAAAAATCATTTGCTCATTTTGGATGACAATAATATTCTCTTTAAGACTTGGCCATCCTGGATTTTAGACCACTGGCACTCTTAAGGAAGGGCATTTCTTGGTCGCTAGAGATTTTGACCTTTCAGTTTACTAGACAAATTCAGCTTACTGGCTCCCAGACATCTTCCAATCATGGATTAGGGATCTCCTTGGACTTCATTTCTCCCTTGCATCTTTGGCCCTTGAAGGAATTCATAAGTCTCTGTAACCTTCTCCTAAAGAGGAAACTGAAAAGATGTTCCTGTCTGTGGTGAGCCCCTTCAGATCCTCTCCTCTCTGACCTCCACCTCTGGGCACTGCTCCTCCATGGCTGCATTTTGATGGGATGCAACTCCACTCTCATCTCTTGGGTCCTTTCCTGCTATTTTTTGACTTGGAATGACTCTGGACTGACTGTCTCTCTTATCCCCAACAAAGTTTATCCATGATAACAGTGTCATGAACCGAAAAGTTTGTCTTCTCTCTTCCTTGGACTGAGAGTTCTCTGTGAACCCATGACCGTAAAGTACCTCAGAGCCCTCTAAAATTTTTGCTCATACCTGAGGGGACAGGGAAAGGACTATCCAGGGCATGGAATGAGTTTTTCTAAAAAATATTATTTTAGATGTTGATGAACCTTTATTTTATTAATTTATTTATATGTGGTGCCTCACACGGGCTAAGCAAGCACTCTACCACTGAGCCACAATCCCAGCCCAGGGACTGAGTTTTTTATGGTGTTAATCTCCCTGCCTAAGACTTTCTTTCAAGGAGCTAAACAACCTTGATTTATCTATGCTTAAAACATGGGGGGGGGGGGGCTAAAAAGAAAGGTAGTCTGGGAAAGGGGTCATGAGTGGACTTATATCACTTTAACTGTTTTATGGATTCAGAGACCTTGAAAAGTAAGTTCTACCTCTTCCACACTAAAAACCATAACATCTGGGCTTTTAATATGTGTGTAATTCTTGAGTCAAGGAAGATAAACTTCCAATAGTTATGCAGGCAGTGTTCCTGATTCACTGAGGGTACTGAAAGTCTAGTTTCCAAGCAGTTATAGAACTTACCAGGAGAGGACAGTATATGGTTGTCAGTAAGCCATGAACATGAATACATCTCTATAAGGACCTACTCTGATAGATTTGTCCATCTTCTTGCTCAAGTAAAACTTCAGGATATTTTCCTGTTTCTTCTGGTCTAGTTCTCTCCTGAACACATTAATGTCATTTTCATGATCCATTACTTGAATGACATACAAGTTTTGTTTGTTTGGTTTTTTGTTTTTTCTCTCTTCTTAAATCAGTCCCTAAAACCTGGGTAACTTTGCACACTACCAACTCCTCCATGCCTTTGGGACCGTTTTTCAATCTATGCCTCAGACTCTTCCCTAGATCATTCCCTAACTGAAACTTTGTTAGGCCCTTCACATAGAAGCTTCTTGGGTGTCCAATCAAATCTTTCTTTGATCCTCACTGCTTTAACCTATAAATACCTAGAGTGTATTCATAGGATCTATGCTTTTTCCTTAGCTGAGCATTATCTATTAAGTGTCCTGAGACTGCATCAGTGCCAGAGACCCTTGGTCCTGCAGATCAAAAAGCACCAGTGTTATATAAGGCTCTTTCAAAGGTGAGACTCTGGTTGATTACAAATATTATTGCTTGTAGGAAATTATCTAGGAAGAATGGAAAATTGCACATGGATCTGTAAGGCCAGATTATACTTGTAAGTTGAGATCTGGGATCTAGCTCAGTAGCTAAGTGGTCGAGTGCTTGCCTAGCATGTATGAGACCAAGGATTTGATTCCCAACTCTACACCAAAAACCAAAAACTAAAACCAACCAATCAACCAAACAAACAAAAACACTTAGGAGCCAGAAGACTAAGATATTTAGATCAAAGAGAGCAAAACCCAGAAATTTTCATTCTACTTTTGCAGAAGCAGTTATTCAGTTTAAGCTGGGATGAGAGACTGTATCTCATCCTGGGTCTTAGGAAAAGATACTGCAGAAGCATTAACCTGGAGTGGATAAAATAAGAAGGTGAATGAAGATTGAAGGTGGACCTAAGTAGGGGCTGGGGAAGCAGTGGGGAAACATTAGCCTGTATTTAAACTGGAGAGGGGTGAGGATGGGCATTAAGAGATTATACTGAATTAAACAAATGGACACTCTAGTGTAGAACAGTAATCAGAAACCAGTACATAATCACCAAGTATTTACTATACATAAAGAGGAGACCCTACAATATATGGCTTTATTACTTCTATAATGCTTCCCCAGGTTTGGGACTTGGGAGTAGCTAAGGACTGTGTAGCTGCCCTGGTTTTTCTTCAATGCTCCACAGTGGCTGAGAGCCTGTGGTGTCCTGCATGTCAGCAAGTAACTCTAAAATAGTGCCAGAAGTGTGTTGTGAATTCACACTCCCTCAACAAGAACTGGGAGACACATCCACTCCAATTATTTAATGAAATCTCTCTGCAATCATTGGCTGGTCACTGGCCGCAGACAACAAACAATACAGAATTTATAGGATTAGTTCAGAAAATTATTATACAAACAAACAATAACAACAATAAACCCTGAAAAGAGGAGAGAATCTGGTTTCCATAGAAGTCACACTATACTATTTAGAAGGTCCAGTGTTCAACACAAAACTATGAGAAACAAACAAACAAAAATATGTCCTATGCATATACATAGGGTGGAGTGGGGAAATAATCAAGTGATTCTGAGGAAGCCCAGAAATTGGGCTTACTAGATAGATTATAAATCAGCTATTTAAAATCTATTCAAAGAACTGAAGAAAATCATGTCTAAAAAACTAGAGAAAAACGTGAAAATGATGTCTCACTAAATAGAGATTATCAATAAAGAGCAATCCACACTGCAAAAAAATTTTTTTAATCATCAAATAGAAACTCTGGGGTTGAAAAGTACAGTATCTGAAATGCAAAATTTGGCAGAAGCACAGGAATGAATTGGAAAAGCAGAACAAAAACCACTGAATGTGAAGATAGGTCAATTGAGATTATTCAATTTGAGGAACAGAAGGGAAAAAGAAAGAAGAAAAACAGTCTATAATACCTGTAGCACTATCAAGCATAATAATGTATAAATAATGAAAATTTCAGAAAGAGAGGAGAAAAAGAAAGGAGCAAAAATATTTGAAAAAATAACAACTGAAAACTTTCCAAGTTGGTGAAAAACTTTTATTAATTTATACACCCTAAAAGCTCAATGAACTCCAAGTGGGATAATAAAAAGATATCCACAGCTAGACATCATATCAAACTATCAAAAGACAAAGACAGGTTGGGCATAGTGAGGCATGCCTGTAATCCCAGTAACTCAGGAGGTTGAAGCAGGAGGTTTGCAAGTCAAAGGCAGCCTCAGCAATTTAGGAAGGCCCTAAGCAACTTAGTGAGACCCTGTCTCAAAA